ACATATCTTTAAATTATTAATATGCCTTGATGTGGTTCTTGCCTAGGAATGCTCTAAAAAACTATTTAAAAATTCACAGAAACAACAAACTTGAAAACCAAAGACAATTATTCCAAGATATGAGTAGCAGTTTGAAAGTATTTCAGCTTCAAACTGCTGACTTAACTTAGGGCATAATTTACATAATTAGTACAGTTTCCTTTACACTATTCTAGGAAACTGTAAAGCTGATGGAAAATACAGCTAATTTCTCTCTCCATCTATCCTTCATAGAACACTACACAAATATATTTGTCTCAAAGACAGACAAAATGGGATGCTGCATTCTACTGTTCACATTTCTCAGCACTCCTCTGAGATCCTCCAGTGTTTTTTTAATCTTTTATTTACTGTTGAGAAGAAATATTTAAGATGAGGGGTATACCTTTTGGCTTCTACAAATCAAAAGTTGGAAGGCTTCTTGAAAAGGGCATCCTTAAATTCTTTTCAGGAAAGCTCTCTAAATTCTCTTTCTTAAAACAGCCACTATTTCCAGCTGTCCTTAACAGGACTGCTGGTATTCCACAGCTGAGTGCTGTCTTCCTTTGCTCCCAAAGGATAGTTTCCTTCAGGAAAAAAGCCCTGTGTCCTCACAAGAACTACCTATCTTATATAGTGAGTGTGGCAAATGAAAATCAATTTTCAGCCTGCAGCTGAAGCAGGAGTTCCATGTGTACTCACTCAGTGCTGGCTTCTGGAGACACGTGTACAGATATTCTTTATCCACCTCCCGAGTACAGAGCCAGCTCTGATTTGCACAAGATGTGCACACCAACAGAGCTTTCTACAAACTACTCTGAAGGCTGTGATGGCCATGTCTCAGATAAGGAGCATTACCTTTTGTTTGTTTGTTATTACAGGATAGTCATCACAATAAAACTCAATAATAAGTCAATACTGACCTCTGTCAATGACAACTTTTAGAACACTTGGAGAACACTGAGTTTTAGCTGGCTCAGGCAGAACTGGTAGCAAGAGATTAGGACCAAAGGTAAAACACAGCAAGAGAATTGGGATTAAATAGCAACAGCTTCTGTTGGGTTGGAATCAGGGAGAGCAGCAGCCAAGTTCCTCTGGGCCGTGGTCACAAGCAGCCACACGAGCAGGTCCTGTTTGGGCTGGGGGAGAAGCAGCATGGCAGCAGCCCCAGGCAGCAGCAGCAGCAGCACAATGGCCACATCCCAGCCCAGAGGAGGACACAGGAGCCTGGAGGACACTCACTTTCCCAGGAGGTCCCACACAAACCCCCCCAGGTGCACCTGGCAGGGAGGGGCCAGCTTGGGGGAGCCGTGATTCCTGACAAACACCCCCACAAAACCAAACAGAACCACACAGCTCGGGGCAGCCGTGGGACAGGGGAGGGAACAGCAAGGGAGGAAACAGAACACAGAGTGAAAAGTTACAGAGAGACAGGAGGTTATGGAATGGCAATACAAAAAGCAAACAGTTAGTTACAAAGGAAGTGAATAACCAGACAGCTACAAAACCCCCCACACCACCACCTCAGGGGACAGAAACAAAACCTATGGGGCTGCTCACCCACAGAAGAAATGTGGAATTAGGGCCCACCTTCCCAAAAGAAAAAGCAAAATCCTCCCCACAGAGAATATATATACCAATGAGCTTGTGCTTTCAAGCTTGTGTTGACTTTATATTTTACAACTCTTGCATAGCATGCACCATACTTAACACGGTTTTTTTAATATCTTTCATCTGAAAAGCGATGTCTCCCACTCAGTAACTGCTAATGCAGAGTGGAAGCATTTCCCTTCATGTTAACTTCAGCACAAGGCAGCTTTGCCTGCACTGAAAAAGTTAAAAGAGCAGTTTTCTGTTTTTAATTTCATCTTCCTCTCCCTACTGTCTTCTTCTCTGTCCCTCTGTGCCCACCTCCCCAACAGGTGACACATCTCTTGTGTGGATGAAAGTGTGGTGCCACCTCCCTGCCCCTGCCAGCACACGGTGCAGCTGTCACAGAGAGCTGGCAAAAGGGAAATCTACAGGGAAGGGAGACTCTCTTTTGAAAAATCCCATTTGTTTCAGTACACTGAGTCTCTGGATGTGACTTCTCACCTTGCTGCAGTGGAACACTGACTGTTCCTGACAGGCACAGCAATATTTGCTGTTCAGCTCGCTGACAATTGCTTCTGCAGGCACTAAAGCTCTTCTTTGCACAAGAGTTTGATCAGCTGTAGAAGCATTAGAAGTCGAGATAATTTCTAGCTTGCTCTGCATGGACCACAGCTTAGGAAAGATTTTAAAAGAGAATATTGCCTATTTTTATTCTCCTGGAAACCAAGACTCTTCTAGCACTAAAACACGAATGTAACATGCCTGGCTATACAGCTTCAGCCATGAAAGAGTATTTTATATACAAGCATTGTAGATAAAAAGAGGACCAACCTATACGTGAAATAGGCATGATGAAATCTCTGCTTTGTGCAAAAACTCACAAGAAGAAAGCAAGCTTTCAGGGAATAATTGTTTGGGGGAGCAGTTGAAAACAACTAAGGTCAAAGAGAAATTCCAACAATTATTCAGAAAAAGAGAAATTACCAGTCAAAACCTCACCATAAAGTATCTGGAGTTTCTATCTCCTTCTCCAGTGATGTCTTTAAATTACAGTTCTGCCTGAAAAATCACTTCAGGTGTTGATAACTTGGCTAATTCACCACACTAACAGATTAGATCTTTAGACCATGAAGACTTTTTCCATTTCCACTTAGAGTGGTTATAGAACATGAATAGTTTTAGATTTTTCTCCTCCCCTTGATTGATTCAGCTGCTGGCAGCCACACAATAACAAAAGCAGTCTTTTCTTTACATGGTCAAAATACCTATTCTAATTACTAGAAATAAAACATATTCTGTCTTACCTCAGTACTGGTAGAAAAGATAAGTTGAAATGAGATGAGGACCACTCAATTTTTTGTTAGACAGAAGATCAAGCGGTAAGAAGGAATGGATAAAAATGAATAGTCAAAGCATTTACCAAATTGTTATGGTATTTGGGGGTTTTATGCTTTCATTGTAAGACTTTAATCTGTGACTGAAACATCAAGAAACTACCATGTAACAGGACAAACAAGAACTGCTTTGCAGATGTCTTGAAATGCATTTTTTCCAAGAAAAAGCTTGCTTTCTATTGAAGATGGTGCAATCATTTCTATCTATAAAAGAGGAGACTCATCCTAATTTCTCTTCCTTGTTATTTTTCCTTTGTAGACTATAAATTTCTTTGTTTATAGGACACTTGTGTCTACTCAATTTTTGAAGCTGCAAGTCAAATCATTATTAGTTCCTAATGTTAATGTAATAAAAAAGTCAGCTTGCATTAAAAGCATCTGTGAGAGAATTCTCTTCCTGCCATTTCGATCTCCTCTAGGAATCAGGCTGAGGAATGATGCATATTTCTGATTTTCTTTTCCAAAACAGTAGTTACTTCTCCACAAAGAAAAAAAACACAACATTAAGGCACTATGAATATATTTCTTTGTTATCTTCTATGTTATTTCTGATAGAAGTAAGGGGATAGCTTGTACCTGTTCCCTGGCCAACTTGCCTGCCCTAAAGAGGATGACACGGGGAATGTCACACCTGAGATGGGGACCCCACCAGGACTGAAAAAAATCACACAGACGAATGACTTGTAGCTTTTTCATGTCTATACTCAACAATAGCAGCCTGAATGTTCTGCTGATTACATTATGTACCAACAGGCTGAATAATGCATCACTTAGGAGAAAAGGGAAGACATTTAAAAAGAATATATCCTCACTTCTGGGTGTTCGAGCTTATGTCATAGGTACAAAAAATTTTGGTTAAAGAAAACTAACAGGGTGTTGCTTACAGTCACAAAGAGAGAAGAAGCCCAGCTGGCAAGCTGAAATGTTCCAGAGCTCTGTACATTTCAAGGAAAAGAGAATGGATTCCTTAGAAAAGAGTTTTTCAAATCATTCAGAGGAGCCCATAATTTGACAATCAGCAAGTCATGAAAAATAGCCACTGATTGCAGAACCTGAAATGTTCTCCACTTAGCTGCCCTAGTCCTCCTGAGACTAAATTGTAGAGTAGTTAAATAGTGAAAAGACAGAAATTAGAAAGACTATTCTGGCACAAGGCAAATGGGAATAACCAAATTTCCACTTTGCTGCTCCAAGTTAGTGATTTTTTTTTTCATTGGGAATGGTAAAGTAAACAAAAAACCCCAAACAGGTATTACTGCCCAGAAATTTGCTCTTGGCCCACTTCAAGATGAGAAAATGACAGAACGCAGAATCTAATTCAGGTCTTTCCCAAGATCTATTACTTGTATTTGTGATACAAATGTTGTGGAATCATAATTAATTATAATTTTTCCTTGGGACATTACAGTTTTGAGTCTCCTGGCTCCAAGAGAAAGATGGAAAATGTTGAAAAGTACTGGATGAAGTTTTGCTTGGACAAAAGCAAATCTGCTCATCAGGCTTCACTTGGGCCAAAGTTTACCTGTGTCCCTACCAGTAACTGTATTATGAAGCCACTTGTCAGAAGAATCTGAGTAAATAGTATCAGAACTGCTGAAAAGGCATTTTTCTTATTTGTTTTTGTGAAAGCAATGCCTGAGGAATTTATTGTATCAAAACAACAAACTGCTTTACAAACACACCAAAATTTCAGCAGCTTTTCCTCCCCTTCCCCATTCCCTTCCAGCTCTATCTGCCTTTCTAGTTCTACCTACATCAGCACTATTTTTGAGTCAACAGGGAAGAAAAAGCACATGGTAAGACACCCTTTTCCTAACAGTGTATCACAGCAAAGGACCAAAGACAGAAAAACTCTAAGTATACTTTCCCAAAACAGACACTTTAAGGTTTTTAAGACAAGAAAAATGACCGATATTTAACGACCAGAAAAACGACCGATATTTAACATTAATTACATCTTTAGGTCCTCTTCTAAGGACTTGACAGCACTCTCACCTTTCCAGTTCTGCTATCTTCTTGTCCTTGTCATTCTTCTCATTTTCCATCTCCTTGAGGATGTCCAGGAGCCGATCCACCTCCGCCTGAGCCTTGCCGGACTCCTCGCGGTACCGCGCCACGTCGCGCTCCAGCTGCTGCGTGTGCTCGCTCAGCTCGGGGCTGGCCCTCGCCTCCAGGGCTGCCTCGTGAGCCTGCCACAAACAGGTCCAACAAAAAACACACCTCAGTCACCTCCACCTGTTCTACAGCTGCTCTTTACCTGTGATGCTGTGACAGTTCCAGGATGCTGTCCAGGTACCTATATCAAAATGGCGAGATTAATTTAATTATTGCACAGCCCATGCTGTTTTTAAGTATGGGGAAATACAATGCAGGAAAATCAAAGATTAAAACAAATTTAATTGTTTTTTTTTGGTTTTTTTAATTAAGCCTAAAACAAATACGTGATTTTTAATCTGAAACAGAATCAAGAAAGAAACAGAAATGTGAAAAAAAAAGTTTAACCTCTTTGGAAGAAAAAAAAAAAATTGAAACAAGTGTGAGTGTAAAAGGTCCTAAAATACACTTTTACAACGGTGATAGGACAATAGATTCAGTTATTTAAGGTATTTTAACCTGTATATCCTAGAAGAAGAAATCACAGGTTAATGGCCTCATCAATATGCAAAGTGTCAGACCTTGGCACAGATGGTGCTGATGTGCTCAAGCCCTTGCCAGTTCTGTGAGACCTGGGTTAATGAGTACAGCTAACTACTGAAATTAGCTTTGCTTACTAATCTAGGAAATACATTTTCCACATCAGGCTGTTGGGACAAAAAGTACATCTGCACTGAGGATGACATGGTCCCAATGCAGAGATTGTTTGGGGAGGTTTTCCAATGGTTTGGTTTGTTACAAAAATCACAAATTTATTAGTAAACCTACTTCAGTAGCTCCCAGTGTTGTAAGAGACAGGAGGAATGCAGTATTCATGCTGGAAGTTAAACCAGCAGACTAAGGACTATCCTTTTCCTCTCACCCTGCCCCTCTGCTCGTGGGGGCAGGGTGAGAGAAAAAGGATCTTGCTCTCAAATTGAACTGCAATTTGATATCAATTAAAGCTATTTCAGAATTGCTCAGAATTGCTCCAGTGAATAGCAAGTTTGATGGAGCTATTCTGCTGATCAGGATTGCCTGCAGAACCCAAGGCCTTGCTCTTCTCAAAACAAACCCACGGCAGAAAATAAGACTACAGACTTTTCTTCCCTCTGTGTGCAGCTGTGGAAAGTTGTTTTACAAGCTGCCAACCTTCTGCTCCAAAGCACACTGAGTCTAGATCTGATAGAATAGGACTCTGTTGCTTTTAAAGGTAATTGGAGAGAACTGCAGCAGTAAAAAACTCAGGGCAGAAAGCTGCTGCTTCCAAAGAACCAAATAGCAAAATTACATTTGGCTAAATCTGTTTAGTTATTCAGTAAAATAAGACTGGAGGAAAATATCCATTTGTTGACCCCAACATTTTTTGCCTTGAAGTGTCTAGTTTTTAATTAGCTTATTTAAAGCCAAGGCCACATTCTAGCAGAATCCAGGAGACTCCTGGAGCAGAATTATTCCGGGACTGTGGAACGTCTTGATGCCTGTTTTTAATGGGACTGACCTTGTTCCAGGGCCTTAGCCCTGCAGCTCTTGTCTGAGGGTCAATACTAAGCTGTTGTGGCTGGCTTTTTTAAAAAAGAATTCCAAAAAGCTGATTAAGCTGGACAGTATTTTATCCTAGAACAAAATGCTTGGCACTCCCCAGGTCTCCCAGACAGATGTCAGCAAGAGTGCCCAATAAGCAAAACTGGTGGAAGAGTGGAGCCCTTTCCTCAGGTAACACATTTAGCAACACTTAGGAGGCTCCCTGATTCTGAGTGACTTTCCAGTCAAACCCTGACCCTCCAGAGCCACTGACCTGCAGGACTGCAAACCCTGTCCAGGCTCTGGCCTGAGGCTGCCCCAAGCGCACCCCCGTGAGCCTGGAGGCTTTGAGAAGCTTTTTGGGGTTAGGGATGTCACTGCTTCCAGATTCCTCACTGCCCCAGAAGCACAAATCCCACACCCTTGGAAGGAAGGGGCTCTCCACAGCGAGTGGAAGTGTAATTAATGCCCTAAGAGGATGCAGGCTCCAGGAGGATGTGGCAACAGTGAGACTGACAAGTGTGTCAGCCCCGTGAGCACCAGGGGACACACCTGACTTTGGAAAGAGCCTTGGTGGCTGTTTCTGAAATGCTTTTTTGGGATTTCCAGCCTGCAGGAAATCTGAAATACTTGATTTCATTTCCTTTTCAACTACACCTTCAATTTCAAACAAACCCCTCCAATCCTTCCTTCCCAGACAGAGGGAATTGGGAATACTGTTTTTGGGGGCACCTATACATCATCTGTATTCTTCTAAGGGACATTGTGTGTAGAGTTAAGTCTGGTTTTCACCAGACAGAGCCTGAGTTCTTCTGTACTGGATTTAGATATGTCTCCAACATCTCAAAGTGTTTGTTTTAACAAATACTCCTCCAGGCTCTTAAAAGTCGTCCAAAATACATGATCAGATTATCAAGAAACTTCTTTTAAAAGAAAGCAAAGTTAGGCTGTTAGCCTGGCTTGTTAAACTCACTAATTCAAAAGAAGTTGTAAGACCTAATGCAATTGGACTGTCAGAACAGTCCTGATTTATTTTACTCTGCTAATAAAAGCATCTCCACAACAACCCAAGAGGCACTGCTGAGAAGAGGAAATAAATTTTCTTTTCTAGAGAATTAGCCAGCAAGTCAGAGTGTCTGGTTCTTATAGAAGCAAAGGGCTATTTACAGGACATAAATTCTGAGTTAAGACACGGAACACATGTTATTTGTATATAATGCACACAAGTTTGGATACTTTCACCTAACACAAAGTGATGTGCTGTAAACTGGAGACCACTTCCTGCACTGTGAGTTACTGAGTGAGTGATTTTGGTCAATTTTGTGGGTTTTGTACCAAATACGTGTTTCACCAGCGGATCTAAAATCCTACAGGATTCATTTCTTGTATAAGGGAGAAAACCAATGCATTTAGAGGTTTCCCACAAACTCACATCAAGATCTGGAACAGATGAAATTGGCTGCCTTCCCAGTGCAACACTGTGCAAAATAATTCATCTTGGTTTTTTTTTCCTTTAACCAAAAAGCTAAACACAAATAATGAATTCCTATATTCACAGAAAAAAATACCCAAAACCTCACATACAACTTGCCCCACCCATCTAAGGTGTACAGAGATTCCAAAATAAGTAGTAATTTCATTTTTGAAGCAGAATCAACATCCGAAATGACAAATGCACCGAGAGTTTCTCCTGTATTAAGATACTATAAGATTATTTCAGTAAGTTTGACTTTCACCTCTGCCTGACAGTCTTTGTAAATCTGCTGTCTTTCAATACAGTTACCAACAAATGTGATAGTGTATAAAAGAAGTGTGATAAAAATTAAATCAATTTATCAATTTTAATATAAATAATTTAATTTAATATAAATAATTAAAATTAATAAATAATTTAAACCAATAAATAATTTAAATTAGTAAATAATTTAATATCAATTAATTTCTCAATTAAATCAAAAGCAGCTTGCTGAGGGTGAAGGGAACACTGCACTTTCTCATCTCCACGGGCCATTGAGTTTAGCTGATTAGAGGTTATTTAAACCCTTCAGCTGTCACTCCTGAGCCTGTCTTTAGCTCTCTGTGCTCCTGATGTTTGTGGCATCAAACAGGTGAATTTGTGAGCCCAGCCAAGCCTGCACCTTTCATTCTGATCTGTGGGAGGAACAGTCACATTCTAGCTGGGAAAAATGTGCACCCAGCACCTTCTTAAGCTCTGCTTTTATTAGCAAAGCTCATCTGATCAGTACTAATCTTTGCCAGTGTGAATTTAGTTTCAAGTTCAAAGTGGTTCAGCACTGAGAATAGTTTAAGTTTACAGCTCTGGATATGCTCTCCCAGTTCTTAAGAGGGACTATAAACTCAGAGGTGGTTTAACAGCTTTCCTGCTTTTTTCTGCTTTCCTGCTCTTAGCCATCATTTCCCATCTGGAATGTGGTAAGTGACGGGGTGACTGCTTCAGGAACCTGAAGAGCATAAGAAAGAGTGATTGTTCCTGAAATATAGAAATGTACTCTAACTTCTACTGCTTCCACAGAAAATCAGCTGACAAAGCCGAACTCTACAACTAAAACAAAGATGATCAAGGTTTCGTAGAAATAACCAATATTTACAGATGGAGAGGAATGGAAGACAAAACACATTAAAAAGAATTTTCTAAGTTGATATTTCTCGTGCCAAAAACCTCTCTTTTAAGAGGTAAGATAATCTTACACAGCTTAAACTGTGGCAGAGACAGGGAACATAACAATAGCACAGATCTAACTGAAAGGTTCTAAAATGTAAATAAAAATTCCAAACATTATGACCAAGACTCCAAATCAATATGCCTAAAATATTAACTAAATCAAACAGCAAATAACTCACAGCAAACACTTTCTACTTTTACCTATGAATTGAGACAGTAAATTCAGTTTAACATTTCACATACAAATGTTGCCAAGAACTTTTGGCCATGAAGTAAAAGTTCCCAAGAATCTGAAATCCCATTTTAATCCACCCTCCTACCTCCAAGGGTGCCTCATGTCTCCTAAAAATAGTGAATGCACACACAAATACAAAAATATATTACAATTATTTACTGCAAAAGACAAACACTTTACCCACCTTCTGTACTTTTCCTACCACAAAGGCAGAAATTCAACTGATAAAACATCTGTGCTGTCTTCTATCGGGCCTTTATGAGTTCTAACAGAATTGTAAATTTTAAAAACAACCAGACTTTCTCCTCCTTTAGTTCCAAGGCTCTACACAACCCAAACTGCAAAAAATCCACTTTTTGGAAAGGCTGTAATGGAAGTAAAAGGCTCAAGAAATTCTCTGATGTACTATGTAAACTTGAGTGTGTCACAGAGAGTTATTTGCTGTCTTTTAGCCATCTCTACATGGCTAATCTTTGCTAATGGAAATGCAAATTTTGGACACTGAATAAGCAAGTGTTCAATTGGAATCAATTCATAAACAAATTATTTTCTTTATGAAGAACCATAAAGACAGGAAGACACCTCAAGAGAGGAAATTTCCATTACTTAAAAAAAAATGGAAATTTTAAAATAAATTCCATTAAAAAATGGAAAAGTGATCTCTTCAGAGAGATACAAGTTCCCACAGATGTCATTAAACATTAACAATTTGCTCTGTTTGGATTTGCCCCAACACAGAGCGTGCAAAATCAGGAGGGAAATGCCCACAGGACATTTCTCTTTGTGAGGGAATTTTAATCCCTCACCTGGCTCCTCTGAGCTGGTCCTTACTCACCTGGCCAGGGCTAGCACTGTTTACAGAAACAGGACTCAAGTATTTAGTGCCACTTTTAGTGCCACATTTAGTGCCACTCTTTGGATATTCAGTGTATGGCTCTATGTGGTGTTTGTTCTGAACTGCAACACGACATTAAAAGAAATAATTCCCCAATTTTCTTTCTGTCATGCTAATCACAATTAATCACTTCTTAACACCACCAGTGGGAAATGAGGATGCATGATCATACCTGTTGTGCAGGTGGAAAAGCAGAATGTAAATGTATCCTGCCTTATACACAGTGCTTTCTTACTATTTAAAAAGTGTTTTATCCTCTAATTCCTCTAGATGATTATCATCTTTATCACATTTTTGTGGCTCAATCTTGGAGCATTTGTCATGCAATATTGAAAACATCAAAACTCCAGCAGACAATAATTTAGTTATTAAATTCTACACAAATGACCTCCCAAGGAAAAATGAGAAAGACCACACGGTGTGACACTGGCCATTTCCTAAATTTTGAATATTTATTTTATTTTAAATGACTGTTATCTTCACAAGTTTTTCTGAGAGGGGTAAATAGGTAAATTTAATTTATTTTTTATTTTTTTAGGTACAAGAAGATCAGGGAGGAGAAAACCTGTCCAACTTTCTGCTGCATGAGATGATGCTGACATTGTCATGCTCAGGATGGAACATTAAAAGCCATCACAGAACAGTGGGGTGGTTTGGGTTGGAAGGGTCCTTAAAGATCATTGCTGTGGGCAGGGACACCTTCCAGCAGAGCAGACTGCTCACCACCCCACCCAAGCTGGCCTTCACAAAGCCTCTTGTCCCTCATCCCGTGTGTTTGCTGTATCATACTGCAGAATAAAATACACAGCTCGCTCCCCAGCTTCTCTCTCTCTTCACACTCCCCAAAATTTTGCATGCTAGTAAAGGTTTTGTAGACAATGTGCTCTCCTGACACAAATTCTTCTGCCTGTTTGCACCAAGTACAATCTTTTTGTATTATATCTTATTTTCTCAACTCCTTATCGACACTATTTAGCCAGGTTTAAAGAATTTCTGGTATGGGATGGCACAAAAACGGAACAATTGCAAGCCCCAGCATTTCCCTGACTCTCAGACAATGATAGACAAGTCCATTTACCCTGAACATTGCCAAGAGTAACACAGGTATCAGACTCCTGAAAGTTCTGTAACACCACTTTCTCTGCACAGAGCCACAAAAGAAATCTCTGATGAAAACCACCTTGGATTACACAATTTACAGATATTGTATTACACAATATTACAAGATATTATTATACAAACACTCCTTGACAGGAGTGCTCTTTGACATCAAACAGGAGACTGGAAATAGGATCCAAAATGAAATTGCTGTAGTACCAGCCAGCTGAATGCTTACACAAGTTTTTGAGCAGCCTTTCAGCAGCTGTAACTTTGTTGTTATTTCTGATGTGCTGCTGTGCCCGGTGTTACAGAACAAGCAAGAAGTTTGGTTTGCATGGAAATTCCACCTTCTTGCCCTGAAAGTGCATGGACAATGGAGGTGACAGAAAAGCTACAGGACATTTCAAGCACCAGCAGCAAAGGGAAACAAAACACTGACACAATATTAAGCTGTCCAAACAAAAATGCAGTCAGACAGAGGCAGTCAAACAGTGAAAACATCTCAGAAAGCTTTTTGGAACGTGACTGCTCAGACATCCCACTGCTTTTTGTTTGTATCCATACTGTCCATCCCCACCACTGAAGGAATTCACCAATGCACTCTGTGTTGGTCCAACTACAAAAGCACAGGTGAATACAACATGCAACACAAAAAATTCAATGTGCTGGCAACAGCCTCTCAGATTGCCAGGGAACTTACTAGCTTGGATGGATGACTCAATAAAACTTCAGGGTGCTAAAGGGAGAAAGAAGATAGGAAAAGATGGAGCAAATTTGGGATAGGAACTGTGTGAGAGAGAAACAGAAAAGATGCAACAAGAAAAGAATTCAAAATAATAACTGCAACATTCATTTACTGAGACGACAGAATCTTAATTAGTGGTTTTAGCATGCGTTATTGACCAGCTTCTGGAACATGAGAAATGTGTGCAGTTACCCTCGTGCAAGTTCCAAATTTCACCTTGATTTTTTTCACTTTAACAGATTTGTCCAGTCCCCACACATTTAATGTAGTTCTTTCTTTGGGTTTACAGATGAGTTTCACAGATTGAGGACTTTAATTGCTGGTGCTTCCCTTGTATCAATTTCAAGACAGCTGAATGGTTCAGTAAACTGATTCAGTAACTGAATCACAATTGCTCTGTTTTTACTTTTAGTGCTACAAAAAATCCTGATTTCCCTGGCAGCCATTTTCTTTCTATGGAGAATACATTATTTATTGTCCCTTCTTAAAAAAAAATAAAAAATGAAATTATCAGCTGAGAACAAGTCTCATCTACCAATATTATCAGTACTGTTTTCAGCTGTGGGAGAAAATCCATGTTCACAAAATAAAAATCAGCAGAGTCTGTATTAGACTAGCCAAGCTAATTCAATTTTCTTTCTGGGAAAGACAGAATTTGGACCAACACTTCATTCAGTCATTTTTTTTCCTGTTTTTTGAAAGATATTATCCTCCTGAATTTGAAGAAAGAACACCACAGCAGATTTAAAAAACCCAACAAAATAAAAAAAAATAACCTCTGCGTGAGCCTGTTGAATGTAGAGGTATTTTCCTGGCAAGGAATCACTGCTAATATTTTCTGGTGAAAAGTTCCTAGAACTGCAGAAAGGGGAAGTTTGTTAACATATGGTTTTCACTCCTTTTCCTCCCCAGAAATAAGGAGTATATCTGTAGGGAGAAAAACTATGCACTGGAAATGAAGATGGACAAAAATACACCCATCTCTCCTGGAAAAAAACTTCTAATATTAGTTGGGATTAGTTTCTAATCCCACATTAGAAAAAACAAAATTAAAGTATAGTGGCTGGGAAAGAGAAGGCAGAAAATGCTGGGAAAAGAGTGTCCTGAAGAAAAACAACTAAAGAAAAACTTTTTCACTATAAAACCAATACATTAAAATAGTAGCTTGGACAAAGATTTTCCTAAAGAAAAGAAAAACCACCAGAGAGCATAACAGCACTTCACAGAAAAACAGGGGGAGAACCTGCTGTGTGTGCTTTGCCTGGAATGATTCCCTCTGAGCCAAAATGAAGACAGGACACCAGGCCATGAAAACTCAACATTTATGAGATGGGATTTATGATCTCAGAATCTCCCACTGCATCTCCTGCTGGCAGCAGGATGACAGCTGAGCACAGAAGCAGTGAACGTAGAATAAATAGAACAGTGAGCACACAGATTTGCATAACCATGGTGTGAATATCTGAAAATAAAACCCCCAATATGAAAACCAGAGCAGTTTCAGTCTCTAAGTCAAGGATCAACATAGAACAGTTACTAGTGAGAAGAGGAATTAGGGAGAAGAGGAATAGCAACAAGAAGTGGATACTTCAGTGGAGACACTAACATGGAACTAAAACCACTATCAACCACTATCAGCACCCTCGTGCTCCACTTGGTTCATTTTTTTGTTTAGTGTGAAGTTAAATCCCTTTTACAGAAGGAGGGGAAGCCTGCATGGTTCACAATTTCTCTGAGGCTCTGAGGTTAGCAAGAGATTTTTGCAAGGGCTACCCAAGTCTTTTTTATTTAATGCCTTAACAGTAGTCCAGTTCAGGCTCCTCTGCCAGCTTTTTAACTTCTAGGGCTCTAGGTTTGACTGCAAATACCCAAACTGTTCACTGGGAATATGAGGCAAGGGAAGCAAGGTCGATGTTAGACATTTCTCCATTCAAACTGTCAGGGAAGAACCTAAAAAAAAAAGCTTTTAGCCATTTAATCTTAAGGAGCTACATGAGACCTTAATTCCTGCATGTGTCTCATTCAAACCTGCACCAAGATAATGCAATAACACTCCACAGAATGAACCTCTAATTCAGTTTTAAACTGAATGCTCTCACACAGCCATTAAAGGTTAATTATGACAATTATTTGCAATTGATAACAATACAGAGGTGCAAAAACGAGTTTTTAGAAGTTCTAAAATGGAGTTGGATTATCTTTCATAATTATTTCTTATTTCATCTTGAAAATGTCAAACTGCCTGAATAAATACCTGCAATGCATTCACAAAAAGTGAAAGCCTTTAAAATATTTTTTTTTTACTTCTGTGCAAGCTACAGCAAAGCCCATTAAGAAATTAAAAACAGCTGGAAAAAGTGTTATTAAGGAAATAAGCAAACTTATTACAGGTATAAAATATTCAAGTGAATCTTAACTATATTTTCTTGAGTAACTAGAAGTTACTTCACACATGTGATGGCAGGCTACCAATTTTTTGTATTTTTTATATTTATTTTTATATATTTTTAATTTTTTTCATATTTTCTTGAGTAACTAGAAATTACTTCACACATGTAATGGTAGGCTACCATTTTTTTTGTATTTTTTTATATTAATTTTTATATATTTTTAATTTTTTTCATATTTTCTTGAGTAACTAGAAGTTACTCCACATGTAATAGTAGGCTACCAATTTTTTTGTATTTTTTATATTAATTTTTATGTATTTTTAATTTTTTTCATATTTTCTTGAGTAACTAGAAGTTACTTCACACATTGGTAGGCTACCAATTTTTTATATTTTTTTATATTTATTTTTCTTTTTTTTTCATATTTTCTTGAGTAACTAGAAGTTACTCCACATGTAATAGTAGGCTACCAATTTTTTATATTTTTTTATATTTATTTCTATATATTTTAAATTTTTTTCATATTTTCTTGAGTAACTAGAAGTTACTCCACATGTAATGGGAGGCTACCAATTTTTTATATATTTTATATTTATTTTTAATTTTTTTTGTATTTTCTTGAGTAACTAGAAATTACTTCACATCTTTTAGACATGGGCAATGTGTTTAGAACCATATGCTTACAACACATTTATAAACATGCACTAAGATTACCTTCTTCAGTTGTGTTTCCATCTTCAAACATTCCTCCTTTTTCTGTTCTAATGCAATTTCCAGTGTCTTGAGTCTTGAATCTTTCTTCAGTCCAGATGAAGCTAATGATGAGGCATGTTCCTTAAGATCCAGTAATGATGTCTAAATATAAAGATGTGAAATAATTATCAAGTAAGTGCAATATTTAGTTTTTTTTCCTGTCTTTATCTCCCTCCTATCCCTTCACACTATGTTCAGGACCTAATTTAGAACATTTCAGGTTGTTTGTGTCACTGACTTAAGACAGCTTGAATTAATTCAGGCTTTCAGTATCAAAATAAAATCTTGTCTAAATTAATTTCGAAGTAATTTTTAAAGATGGACAATTCTGCAAAATGGAACTTGTGCTCCAGTGACAGTCATGTTTAAGAACAACTGGTTTCCAATAAAATTGTATTTAAAATTGTATGTGGGTAGAAGATTTAGCCACTGAGAGAGTTGAAAACATTTCTGTATACAGCTTCCACGGGGTGAAACTGATTCATGCCACCTTACTCCAAAGCACATCTCAACTTCTTTCTAAACAATTTTCACGTTTGCTTTTTTCTTTTCCCCTGTCAAATGCTGATTTCCATGTAGACAAAACCTTAGTGCTCTCTTGGTATGTATTTTTGTACTGTTTTGAGTTTTGAAAAGAAGATTGCCAAATTCTCCAGTGGTGTACTTTACCAGCTCAGCTTTGTCCAAGGACAATTACTACAAAGGCACAGTTTTCCTCATCTCAAATGTAACACAAATAGAGACAATAAATGATTCTGTCACAATAGATTGGGATTGCTGGTCAACCTCTTTCTCTGTGAGATCTCCTTGTAAAATGCTGACTCTCTCTTTCAGGTCCTTAATGTCTTTCTTGTAGTTGTCGATCTCTTCCTGTTTTTCTCGTTCATCTCTGTCACGCTGCTCCTTTAAACGCTCAATGGTCTTTTCCTGACAAAAGAAAGCACTCTGTGAAGGAAATCCCTCTTACTCAACTCAGCTTCTCAGGCTCCTCCTCACAACACTTCTGACAAGTGTGCCATTTTCTTTTCTTTTCTTTACAGCTCCAAAGATCCTCAAGAAGGAGCAAACTTGAGGAATCTATGGATTTGTGGCTGTGAAACACCAGGATTTCTGGATCCCTGAAAGTTCACAGTGCTGTTCAAATGCAACCCAATTCATCTGCTTCTGATTATCAAAATCAACCTAAACCAGGATGTATTAGATATTGCCTCCTGACTTATTTAAATCTTATTTTTCTAAAATGTACAGTTAAATCAGTGGTTCTTCAAAGAAGGGGTGTGGTGCCTATGGGATGCTGGGATTTATGTACAGTAAGAAAAAGCAACAAAATAACTTTTCGATACACCTGATATCAACGGAGCTTTGGATATTTTGGAATCTGAAAGGATGTAAGCAAATTCAGGTAAAATTTAACCATAGTTCATAGGATCTGACAAAGGAGCTGTAGTCCTGCTTCTCTGGGAATCTAGAAGAATATATATTTAATTAGCCCAAGGTGTTATCCCACCAAAAGAGAATGGGACAATCTGTTATCTCTGGAGCATTACAAAAATTTATCACTAAATAAATTTACAGGAATTTAAAATTTTAAAATAAAATGACAAGAATTTATCACTAAATACTAGATATTATTTATAGTCAGTATTTATAGTGTGTATATAAGTGTATAGTGGATGTATGTATTTATTTATTTATTGGCTGTCAGTATTTGTACTCGGGGATAATCCCCGCGCGTCCTGCAGCGCACCCTAGCGGGGGATGGCCCCGCCGCCATGGACGGGCACCGGGAACGGGATCGGGAATGGGAATGGGAATGGGAATGGGAATGGGAATGGGAATGGGAATGGGAATGGGAATGGGAATGGGATGGGGAATGGGAATGGGAATGGGATGGGGAATGGGAATGGGAATGGGATGGGGAATGGGAATGGGATGGGGAATGGGAATGGGATGGGGAATGGGAATGGGAATGGGATGGGGAATGGGAATGGGAATGGGATCGGGAATGGGAATGGGATCGGGAATGGGAATGGGATCAGGAATGGGAATGGGATGGGGAATGGGATTGGGAATGGGAATGGGAATGGGATGGGGAATGGGAATGGGATGGGGAATGGGAATGGGATCAGGAATGGGGATGGGATCAGGAATGGGAATGGGATCGGGAATGGGAACAGGAATGGAATCAGGATCAGGAGTGGGAATGGGAACGGGAATGGAACAGAAATGGGATCAGGAATGGGAACGGGAATGGGAACAGGAATGGGAATAGGAATGGGAACGGGAACGAGAGCGGAATGGGAGAAGGAATGGGAATGGGAACCTGGGAACGGGATGGGGAATGGGAACGAAGCAGGAGCGGGATCAGGAATGGGAACGGGAATGGGAACATGACTGGGAATGGGAACGGGAACAGAATGGGATTGGGAACAGGAACGGAACGGGATTGGGAATGGGAACGGGAAATGGAATGGGAATGGAACAAGATCAGGAACGGAACGGGAATGGGAATGGGAATGGGAACAGGCACGGGATTGGGGAAGGGGATTGGGAACGGGCGTGGAATCAGGATCAGGATGGGGTACAGGAATGGGGACAGGATCAGGATCGGGAACGGGAACGAGCACAGGATCAGGATGGGGGATGTGAAGGGGCATGGGACAGGGATCAGGATCGGGATTGGGATGGGGACCGGGCAGGGCAGCAGCGGCCGGGATGCCGCAGGGAAGGAGCAGCGCTTCCCACGCTCACTTTCTCTGCCAGCGCCTCTTCCAGCGTGGTCAGGGCAGTGTCGGTGTTGGTGGTGTCGGCCTGCAGGGATTTCACTCGATCCTTCAAGCTGCTCATCTGCTTCTCCTTGTCCCTCAGCTGCTCTTGCAGGTTCTCGATCTTCAACAAAAGGAGCCCGTTGTAAGACAACAGCAAGGAAAACCAGCCAAAATCATCTTAGGGTACATTAAATGATTAAAATTATTCTTAAGGAAAATAAAACCTAGTTCTTAAAATCCTCCCTCAAAACAACAAGTGACGTAACCAAACCCATCAAATCTAACAAGGAATCGGCAAACTTCCCAACAATCGGGAATAAATTCAGAGCAAGCAAGTTCTGAAGGGTATTATTCACAAGAACAGCATACAGAAAAGCCATTATTCCAAATTTCTGAGGATGCTGGGCACTGTGTCACAGAAGGATGATCAACACACGAACAACGAAACACATTAAGGAAGGAAAGAAACTGACAGAAACCTTACTGCAGACATAAACTAAAAAAAGCACTTGATAATTAAGAAACTTGTGAAGAGGTTTTTATTATTTTTAAATAATCTTTTTATTTTTAAGTCATTCTATTATTTTATGTTATTTAATATTATTATTTTAAGTATTTTCTTTGGAGCCATCGTAATTTTTGCTGTACTGGCGAGTTGCTTGTTTATCTTACATGGTGCCTTGCTATGTGATGGACCAACACAAAGTGCCATCCCCTGGGGGGAAAATGTATCAGCCTTGATTTCTGTGGGTGTAGAATTTCATCTGATTAGGAGATCTGAACATCTCTTTTGATACTCTGAGAAGACCTAATGCCAGCCCCCTTTCATGCATATCCACACATCAAAAGAAACAGGTACATTAACATGATGATAACACCTCAACAACAAATTTATCAACACAGGAGTGAAGTGTACACAGATTTCTCAGCTGTTTCCTTTTTGTGTTGTTCTGACAATTCTTGCATCAGCAAAGGCACATTGTAGACTAATGAATGACACGGGGCATGTGAGGCACCCAACTCCAAAACACTCGGAGCAAGAGGCTCTTTCAAAGGTATTTATAAGAAATATTGCCCCCAGACAACCCCAAAGGCTACCTGGCCCCATATTCATCATGATAAATTAAAGCATTAATTAGCCTTCTGTTTCACCTATTGTACAGCAGTTTGCAGCTGCTTGGTTACTGGAAATACAGTTTTACTCTTCAGCCCTGGGAAACCAGAGTTTCTGTGATTACAAATGGCTCTGTGACACGTGCACTACCATGCCATCTGTACTGAAATTACATGTGGAGCACAGCAGAACAGGGGGATTGCTTTATCTTCATCATTTGTTTCTATTAGGAAAAGAAAAAAGTTCTAGGCCTTCAATTGATGCTCAAAAACTGAATTTGGGCACAACACCACGAAACAAAATTAAAGCCCACCAAAAAAACCATAACCAGAGCCATGTCACAGCAGTCAGAAATAAGTGTAAGAACTGAAAATCCCTTTTTTATACACTCACATCAGCTGTTTAATGAAGCTCTGAAGCTCCATTAAGCCATGGAGCTTCAGAGAGAGCCCCAGCAGCCCTGAGTGCAAGGTTCTGGTGCCCAAGGGTGGCTGATTTAGACCTCAGCAGCTCCCAGTGCCATCAGCTGTCTAGACAGGCTGGGACAGCTAACCATGAAAACACACTACAGAAAAGGCTGAGTTATTCTTAGACTGGTGTTTACTCCTGGAGGAGAAGGGCTCTGGCCAGAGCTCTGGCTGCCTGGAGAGGGGGTTGTGCAGAGCAGCTTTCTGCTGGGAGCAAAGCACACAAGAGAGGCAGCTAAATAATAAATAATTCAGAAAAGAAAGAAAGAAAGAAATAAAAGCTAAATAATCCAGCTTCAGCACGTGTGAAGGTGCTTAGCAAGGCAGCACAAGCATTTCTTAGCACGAGCCCAGCGTGCATTTTCATGCTTCAGGGACAATGTTTTCTATGGGATTTTCCCATTTTCACCAAAAATGGGATGTGTATGGAGCGTGGAGCTGTCTGTTCCTGCTGGCTACATGCATCCTTTTCAGCCTGGAGCAGTGAAAGGTGGGGTTTGGTGTCACTGAGGGAACAGCAGCTGTGCCAAAATATCCCCAGTCACATCTGGGCACTGCCTGAAAAGCCCACTGCAGCTCCAGCTGTGCCTTTTGCAGGGTCAGATAAATGAAGGAGCTGGCCCTCAGGCTACAGAAAACATTATGGCATTATGGGGCAAAGATGAAATATTTCTGTAATAATAAATGCAAAATTTCCCTGTGAAATGGGATAAATTGCCTTCATTCCATTTTTCTCCTAAATCTGCAATATGATATACTAATAAATATACTTAAATTATAAGTACAGGCTCTCCACAATGACATAACCTGAAGAAGAAAGCAAATAGTCTACACTCTGTCCATATAGTTAATTAATGAAGAAATTTGCTTTTATGTCCTTGCAAGTAGTTTGAGGATCCTTTCAAAAAAGAATAGACAATGCACTCCTAACCAAAAAAAAGAAAAAAAAGAAAAAAAAAGAAAAAAAAATAAAAGGAAATTCTGAACAAATTCTCAAAAAACTGGTGAAAATGAAACAGGTAACCAGAACAGGGTCTCTTTGCTACCCAAGAAGAGATGAAATAAACCTTAATGGAATCTCCAAGCCTTGTGGAACACAGAGAAGCACAAGGATTGCATGAGCATTGTTTATTCTTGTAATACTCTGAGCTGACAGAACTCAGAAACGTTCCACAAACCAAAGGAATATCCATATATCTATTACTGTACCATATTTCTAAAAAAACCCCAAAATAAAAATGAAAAGTATATACTGTTTTTAATTATTAACCATCTTTTTTCCTTGCCATATTTACTTATTTTGCAGGTAAAGGCAGTGATCTGTGGCTCAGTTAGCAACATTTTCCTTAGTGTAAAGGTGCACAAGGCTACACTGGCATCATCTGCTCTGCACACCCATTTTCCCATCAATAATGATTTACTAGAGTATTTTTTCCAACATTACCAGTTGTCAGGCACTATCATCTTTCAGCTTGGGTGATTTATTCTTAGTTGTGTGGAACTAATTATTTTGCCTTCCAGCCCTGAAGCACAGAGTGGAGGCAAGAGAAGTTTCCCCTGGCATTCTGCTCCAAGGGCAAGGAAGCATTCTGCTGCTTGCAAACACAGGCTCAGTGAAAAGCCCGTGCAAATGCAAATTAAAACCAGCCCAGGGATTTAAAGGAAGCACATCTAGTTAAATATCCATCTAGATTCCCAGATTCCTGTAGTGAGAGGTTCCTAGATCCTGTGCATCATGCTTCAGCTGAGAAACTCTTCCACAGAGACAGTGTCCACCCTCTTGCCATGCCCTGGGGTGTGAGGAAATTGAAAAAAAACAATAAAAACAATTTCTGTTCTATCAGTGACCTCTGAATAAATGAAGTGGGTTTATGAAGTGCTCATTAAACCTCTTCCACCATCAATTTAACACTTGATAGTATTCCTTCAGAGTGGTACAGGAGCAGATGTGCAAAAGAGCATCTCTGGGTTCTGTTTAGCCTCCCACTTTTTTGTTCCCAGCTTTCCCCTGGGGGGAGCAGGGAACAAATAATTAAATTAAATAAAATAAATGTGTAAATAGGATCTCAACAATCAGAGGGGTTTCAGAAGGTTTCTGTTCCATTCCTGTGGCACAGCCATCCAAATAAACAACAACTTCACATAAGCTGTTACTTCTCCTAACAGTTCTTCCTTGGTTTTGTAAAAGGCACTCTTGGTCACCCCAGCTCCAGGGTCAGTGACCACAAGGAGATGATGGATTACCACCAATCCCAGGCAGAAATGTTTCCTTCACATCAGGAGTACCAACATGGGGACAAAAGATGCGTTTTTGGAAGGGAGGACGGGTGAGTAAGCAGCCATGTGATGACAGAACAGCTACAGCTCTGTCTAGGTGGAGACATGCCACTCCCTTCAAGGTAAAATTACTAATGTAATAATAAAAATTTGAGAGCCTACAGTCATGCTTGAATTGCTGGAGTCCCACAGTACTTGAGAAGCTGAAAAAGATGGGCTTGCATCAAAATCAAAATGACAACATCACAGTTAAAACAGACAGGATTGCATAAAAAATATTTTAAAAAATACTGCTGTGGGGAAAAAGGAAAGAGGTTATTGAGAGATCACCTCAAGTACTAGAGACTGTTCTGAGCTGTACTGCTGGATTTATAATTATTGCTCTATTTCTGAAAGTCATGTTTTGGAGAACATAATGGAAACCTGTAAGCAGATATTACTGGGAAGTTTCCTAAGATTAAGCTCCAGTTTTATCCATGTCACACTGAAAACCTCACCATTTTAATTGTCTTCCCATTGCAAATCCTGCAGAAGTACTGCTAGAACAGTCCAGCATGAATCTCAGAACTGTGTATTTAATTCAGCATGCAGAGATTCTCTGTCACAGGGGTGATTTTCACCCACAGCACTGCACTGAGCCATTCCACTGACAGCAACATTCCTGATATTCATTTTAAAGGTTAAATTCCCAAGACTACCAACAATGTGAAGCTTTAGGCAAAGCTTGTCCTCTTGCAAGGCTGAGATTTTTAAGTTGTTTTAAAGTTCAGGGCAGATCAAACAACTTCCCTTTTTTTTCAGTTAGATTTTGGCAAATGCAAATCAGAGTTTCATCCAAAGTTCATCTGCACTCAGTAAGATTTTTTTTTTTTTTACTTTTAGATCCAAACAATTGATATGAATATGGTCACATTGTTGTCAAGTTACATTCTTGTTCTTGAACCATCAGACTAAAAGCCATCCCAGGGAACACTGGATTCATTTTTATTTTGCTCCCCAATAAAGTTTTCTTTCTACTGCTCCTCTGCTTCAACGCTCACGTGGAACATCACTGCCTTTGCAACATCACTCTGGAATATTGGGCACTTGGGAAATGTCCTGATGTTGCTGACTTTAAAATGGTGGGATTTTGTAACACCTTGAGTCTTAGATGGGCTAGCAAAGGAACACACAGTTACTTTAAGAAAAAGAACCAGGCTAGAAAGGGTGAGGACAGCATAGAGGACTTAAAGTGGATTTTAAATGGCTAAACTCCAGCATTCT